CATCAGAGACAAGCGAAGTCGATCCCTTGACCAGATGTCTACTAAACAGTTGTGGTATCTCTCCTTCTGTCATGATGCATCCACTTATCTTATATCCTCATATCAACCTCTCCACTATAACAATTTCTTACTTGCTTATTTAAAGGTAGTTCAGGTGTGCCTTTTTGAGCGGATTTAGTAAGACCTATTTACACTACCCGCTGGCTTCCTCATCCCAATCCCTGCTGTGCTGGAAGTATTGATCCAAGTCTGCTCTTTCAGTACACAATCCTCTTCAACCAAGTCCTATCAGAATATTCCTCTTGCCCCATGGAATTTGTCTCTTAACTCCCGGATTCAATGATCTCATTTGAGCACTGTCCCCATATCCACCAGAGCCTCGATAAATCTGTTCAAAAGTGCACGCCTGAGCTAGGTTTAAATAGGCAAATAAGAGATTGTGATAGTGGAGATGTGACACGAGGATATAGGATAGGTGAATTCACCAGGACAGGATAGCACAAATGTTTAGCAAACATTTGGTCAAGGGATCGATTTCATATGCCCCTTCGAAGAGTTGTAGTGAGGTGCTAATAATGTCAGAGTTCACCAAATGAGCAATCTTAAATAGGAAATAATCATGGATACTATAGAATCCGGACAAGATTCATTCATCTATGTCTATCTGCCAAAACGACAAAATTTTGAAGACGAGATCAGACCACTTAAAATAATTTAGCTGAGAAACGATGACTTAATGAGCTGAAGCTACTGAGAAATTTGATTAAAAATTATGAATAGACTGACTTGGCATTTAAAATGGCTGTAGTTTGCATTTAAAAGTTACTGATGAATAAATCAAGTGAAGCGAAAGCGTCTAAGATAGAGGCAATATCTACAGGCTCAAAATCATGTTCGCGAGCTTAAAAAATTGTGTAAAACATAACGTTGTAACTACCTGCGGACATCAATTGGTGAAGCTAAAATACTCCTGAGCACCATGGTGGCAATTGTTATATGATCATTATCAGAAGTAAAAAGGGGCTCGGCGGCGAGTTCTCTAATGCAGCTAGGAATGTTTAGATGACGTCCGCCATTTAGTGAATTTAAGGCGTATACGAAATGCGGCTCGCCAACTTCTGGAGGTTCAACGTTTTTATCTTCCTTGTTTTCATTTTCCGAAGATTCACACCAAATTTGCCATTGTCGAGCCCGGGATAGGGTAGTTACAAAGCATGCACGTACTGAAATAATTGGTTCAAAAGTATAAATACTAGAGATAAATGGCATGCATATAGATCTGGAGCTTGTTCTAACCTTTTATATCTTCGAGAATGTCTTCACCTAAGTTGATATCTAATTCTGAAATAAATGAATAGGTATCAAACCCAAATTATTGGA